GCTGATCTGAGCTTTTATTTTGAAATCCCTGTGTTTTCTAACCCCTGCTTCCTGTCTTCAGGTTCTCTCAACAGCAGTCACGAGAGGAGCCGCTTGGCCTTCGCCGTCAGTGTCAGCGACCTCCGCTCCGTCACGGTGAGGGAGGAGGGCTGGACCTTCATCGTCCTGCAGCTGAAGGACTCCTCCACCTCGCTGCCACACCTGCACTTCCACCAGGGCGGCAGCAGAGCGTTCCTGGACAGCCTGAGGAGGTTCGCTCTGCTCACGGAGTGAGTATAGCGGTTGATGTTAAGCTCCGCCCTCCACCTCAAGGAGGGTTGTGTTTTTTTTGGGGGGGGTCTGATCAGGTTCACATACAGATCAGTTATTGGTGTTTGTGTCAGTTTATTCAAGTTACTCAGTCAGGAAGACATATCAATGTTACTCCACCTTGGGGTGGGGGTGGGGGCTGCTGGGGGGATTTGGCGCCGGCGCCGCTCTCTGGGGTCATTTATATGCTAATGGCTGATTTCCACAGGCGTGCGGCAGCGTTCCCGACCCTCTGATCCAAATATCGGGTGAGGCGGGGGCAGATAGCTGTTATTAAAGTTCTTATCAGGCTTCATAATGACGTCCCGCCCACGCGCTGCCTGCTGATTGGCTGATAGGATCTGTACACCCCAAAGAGACGAGCGCTTCCTCTGATGTCTGATTTGCCGCTCGCGCCGTGAATGATAAGCCCCCGTTTGTTATCAGAAGGCCGGCGTCGATCCTGCGAGCTGTTACTGAGGTCACGTGTTTCCTGTTTGCAGGTGTCCCAGCGACCACACGTGCCTGCTGGTCAGCACGCCAAACAAAGCTCTGTCGCAGTCCTTCGAGAACCTTCTGGACGACAACAACTTCGGCCTGGTTCACGTAAGACGTTTAACCATCTCTCACTGCCAGCTGTTCGGCTCCAACATCTGGATTTGCTCGTCCCACTGCCTGATGACGGACACCAGATCAGAGCGATGAATGTGATTGGTTGTTCGCAGCGTGACGGCGACTCGGCAGCAGATCAGAATTGTGCAAAACAACATTTCAGCGTTCACGCACATGCACGCACACAGACATGCACGCACAAACATGCACGCACAGACATGCATGCACACGCACGCACACGGGGGGTGCGAGTATAGATTATTTGGTCGTCGATTAACCTGATTTCTTCGATTATTTGTGCCGACGCAGTCGTGGCAGGTGACGCGATGCTGCCCCCACAGCTTCCTGTGGTGTACTGCAGGTACAAACACATTTATGAGGTTTTAGCGACGTGTCGACGTCATGCAATGTGGCGGCGCACAGGGACTGAAACATGCTGCACATAAAAGTCTGAGCATCACGTGGTCCTCGCAGTGAGGGGTTCAGCAGCTGTTACCATGGTGATTTAACAGTAAACGTGTGATCTTCACGCAGCTGCTGTGCAGCAGAGCGCGTTTATTTCAAGCTAAATAAATCTGTGTTCGTTTTGCGAGCTCGCTGCTGTTGCCGTGTTCGCTGCTCTGGTTTCACACAGAATCTTTTTTCTCTCATTGCTGTGAAAACGCGTCGCAGGATTTATCTTCAGATGACGTTTGGAGTCGGGCGCTCCGTGTGCTGCGTTCACGTCTTGTTCCGGCGTCCGTCAGCTGATGAGCTCTGCGTTTGTCTCCTGCAGAAGTTCAAGCGGGACCCGTACGTCACCACGCTCGGCGGCTTCTCCAAAGTCACAAACTACTTATTCGACGCGCTGCGAGGGATGGAGGAGCAGCAACAGCGCCCCCCGG